GAGGGCTCTTTACTTCCCTGGGCCTCTGGATGTGCTGTGCTGTGGACCTGGGCCTCCATGAAATCCTGCTTCATTTTCTCACCTTCATTGTCCCCTGGCCCCACCACCAGTTTCTCTTTTGTCAACAACTGTGCACGATTTGGTTGGGGCCTCTAACAATTCCTACAGTGACCTCCTGAACAGTTAGGGATCCTATTAGGGTTTGAATTGCCAGGCCTTTCAACGTGGACACAGTTGGTGACAGACTGACCAGACATCAAACCTGTTAGTGGCAGTGGGTGGGACTGGCTTCCCACCTTGGCTGCCCTGGCTGTTGTTGCCTTGGAGCCAGTCCTGTGTTCTGTTGTTCATGCACGGCACCACAAAATGCTGCCCAGCCTTGAGCCACCGCTTTGATTGGTTGAGAATCAGACTATTGTGATCCATGAAGATTTCACTGGATGATTTTTGGAAGTAGATATCCAGGCCTTTGTACTTAGTCTGGAAGCTCTGCTGAACCCTGTTCAATATCATACCAATATACAAGATGAAAGGTGAGAATTCTACTACCCCTGAGATACAGTTATCCCAGAGAATCATCTAAGGAGACAAAGATAATTGAGGAGCATGGTCTTCACCCTGAACCTCTGATTTCAAAGGCCTGAGTTGAAGCTGGGCATCTTTTGGTTTGTTATTTGTTGGCTTAAGCAGCCAGCATGAAGCACCACCTCTAAGTCTGAGGCAGGGAGATCTGCAGAGCCAGAGGATGCTGTGTCCTGTAGCTGCAGTCATTGATGCTGGAGGTGAGAATCTCTCACAGCATGAATCCTTAATTAATCAATTAATTAAGTAAGTAAGCCATTTATTAATGTTTTATAGAGTGGAGGAGGAAGACCGTAGAAGGGAGAACCATGTGAGTGTAAAAGCAGGAGCCAGAAGGATAGTGGCTTACCAAGATGCTGGATAAGCTGAGTGGTCAGGGTTGGTGACAGTTGGTACAGTGCCTTCTATAGTTGACCATTTGTGTCTCCTATAACCAGTCATCCCTGTCCCAGAGGCAGAGGCAGAGCCAGCAGGAGAACCATGTGTGTTGTTGTTAGGTGCTGATGAGTTGGTACCAATTCACCGTGATCCGATGTACAACGAAGCGAAACACTGCTCAGTCCTGCACCTTCCTCATATCCTGCCTACTCTTGAGCCCACTGTTATAGTTACTGGTCAGTCCATGTCCTTGGGGGAGTCTTCCTCTTTTTTGTTGACTCTCTCCTTTACCAAGCATGATGTCCTTTTCCAGGGACTGTTTCTTCCTGATAGCATGTCTTCAGTATGTGAGCTGAAGTCTCCCCATCCTCATACTTGTGTGGTCACAGGAGCAAGAAGGAGAACTGCATCACGTGTTTGTCCAGGGAGGCGATGTAACAACAAGAATGAAAATGCCCTGCACAGCAGCACGGCCACACCTCCGTGGAAAGGCGGTTGTGCTAGCACATTCTTTATGCAGGAAGAGCCTATGCGCTCATCCAGTGGAGATTTTTGATGCCTTAGGTCACAAGGGTACTGGTGGCTCAATGGTAGTGGTAGCATTCTGGCCTTTGTGCAGGAGACCCGAGTTCGACGCCTGTAGCCACCACCCATCTTGTTAGTGGGGAGCCTGTGTGTTGCGATGACGCTTCCAGACTAATACCAACTAGGAAGAAAGACTGGAGAATCTGTTTCTGAAAATCAGCCAGTGAAAACTGCATCAGATCAGTCTCATCCCTAAGCGATCAAGAGGAACGTGCGGGACCGGGCCTGCACCATTGTACATGGGGTTGCCAATGAGTTGGAGCCAATAAGCTAGCAGCTGATGATGAGTGGATGGTAGGGCCAGAAGTATGGGACCATCTCTTGCAGCACCCTAGGCAGAGAGTGGTGTCAACCCAGACGAAAGCTCTTTGACGTTGGTGAGGAGAACAAGGTCCCCCATCTGTTGTAGTGGTTTTGCCTGGAGTGAAAACAAAGTGGAAAGCTTAAAGTGAAAGCAGGGAGATGCTTGACCAAGCAGAGCTGGAAGCACATTTTGAATTTGAGCTTTGCTTAGTACTATCATGACAGAAAAGCTATCAGCATTCTCTTTCCAGGCCAAGAATGCAGAGTTTGGTTTCTTGCTTTATCCACCTACTCCAGGGATATTCCTGGTGTGCAAATGAGTTCAGTTTGGAAAGTCACTCTTAGGCTGCAGGGCAGTGAGGTCCTGAGAGGGACTGTGATGGGGCCCCAGGGGAGAGGAACTGGTACATTGGAAGCCCTGACGATAGGATTTGAGCCCCATGTGGAGGCGGTGGCACTGAAGACAATGAGGGCGGGAGGTAGCAAGGATCGAAGTTGCTGAGAGTTGTGGGCAAGATGAAAGGCGTAGACAGCCAGGAGAGGTGCCTACAGTAGCCCCGTGCAGGCCTCAACCTGAACCTTAACTTACAGCACCCCCACGTGTGTCCGAGTAGGACCGTGCTCCATAGAGTTGTCAGTGGTTGGGTTTTCAGAAGTAAATTACCAGGCCTTTCTTCCAAAGTGCTTCTGGGTGGCCTTGACCTTCAAACCTTTCATTTAGAAGCTGAATTTATCTACCTTTTGCACCACCTGGGTATTGCTTATTTTGTTCCTGTGAGAAGGAGGGAGGTGGCATTGGCCCCATGTGCCTTCAGGACAGGGCTCTCATACCCTGAGCCATGGCTTTTATAGCCATGGGCCTTTATCAGGTACTTTCCTCACAGGAGAGCAAATGGCTGCCTCACTTCCAGCTAGGCCTATTCTAGGCAGGTGGTTGTTGCCAAGACCCTATGTGAAGTCATTGCAAGAAAGCGGTACCTCATAGCATGAGGTGACAAGAGATGTTCTCTGACCCCACCTTTGGTCCTACGAGGGGGGTTCTGTACACTCCGTGGGCCTTGGAGATTTGTCCAGGAAGTCATATGAACATTGGCCGTGGGCCTATGTCACCCCAGGACACCTGGCAGAGGCAGACCCCAAACTGCTCCGGAAGGCACACAGTCAATCTGAAGCAAAACGTCTGTGTGTGGAGACCTATGAAAGAGGACTAGAAAGTGAAGCCAGAGCCGGTTCCCTGGGAGTGAGAAACCACTCACACACACATGCACATATGCACACACCCAGGCACGTGCTTGTGCTCTGCAAGGCCTGTAAAGTAACCAGGGCCCTGTGACAGCCTCAGAGGCTAATGCCGAGGCCTGAACTGAGCTGGACTTGCTACAGAAAGGATAGCCTGGGTAGAGGCACAGAAGAGACCTTCTGCCTAAGAACCTGGTGGGACTCATGGGGCCATCAGTCTGGGTAGTCCCAGATGATGTAGTGCAATGGATTACTTTTACATAGTCTTTCTTCTAATGCTCACCCAATGACTGATTAGGTGTTGTCAAGTTGGTTCTGACCCTGTGTACAACAGAACAAAACCTGGCACGGTTCTTCGCCATCCTCACTATTGCTGTTATGTTTGAGCCCATTGTTGCTGTTACTGTGTGGATCCCTCCATGTTTCCAAGCATGAAATCCTTCTCCAGGGACTTGTCCCTCCTGACTCAAACTCACTTCTAAGGAGCTTTCTGGCTGTACTTCTTCCGACACAGATTTGTTTGTTCTTCTGACAGTCCATGGTCCTTGCCATATTTTTCTCCAACACTATAACTCAAATGCATTAATTCTTCTACAGTCTTCCTTATTCATTGTCCAACTTTCACATGCATATGAAGCTATTGAAAAAGACCATGGCTTGGGTCAGGGGCACCTTACTCATCAAAGTGACATCTTTGTTTTTTAACACTTTAAAAAGAAGTCTTTTGCAGCAGATTTGTGTAAAAGATATATTTACGACAGCAACAAGAAGAGTAGCAGCTGAGGTTGATTATGTATAGCCAAACACCTCATGGGATTTTGTTCTTTGGTCTGGAGGTTTAGGGTTATGGTTTCATGGGACATCCCAGTTAATTGGCTTAATATGTGTACTGTTCTACCTCATAGTTAATTGTATAATGCCTGGAGTATTAAAAGCTTGTAAAGTGGCCATCCAAGTCTAACAATTGGTCTCTAATCCCTTGAGCAACAGAGGAAGGAGGAGAGTGGGAGGAATAGGAGAAAGATATAGAATGTATAGCTAGTTGCTTCCATGAACAGCCTTTGCCAGAGATCAGAAGAATTGGATGGTGCCTGGCTTCCATTCCTGAACATTTAGACAAATCTGGATTGAAAGAGGGGAAATACAGAACAGAATTTCAAATTCTCATGGACTCTAGACTTTCTGAAGTCTTAGAGGTTGGATGAACCCCTGAAACTATTGCACTGTGAAAATCTTTAAACCTTAAACTAAAAATATCCCCTGAAGTCATCTTCAATCCGAACAACAATTTAACTTGAAAAAAACAAAAAATTTGCCTTGAGCATTATGCTTCTTTAAGAACTATCTGCATGGGATCAAACTGAGAACACAACAGTGATTGGAGAGATTAGATAGGAACCTTAAGAGGCAGTGAGTTGATGTTAATGGGAAGGAACATGTCAGAAAAGGGTGGGAATGTTTACATCACTCAAAAAATGCAGTCATGTTAGCACTGTTGAATTTTGGTGTATGGTTTGCTGTGTATAGTCTCAACACAATAAGTAAGATATAAAAGGAAAAAAAGCTAGATAGAACTCAACGTTTGTCAGCGTACAATTCAGCCATCGAAATTATATTAATCATGTTGTGCAACCATCCCTTAAAGCTATTGCCAAATTTCCTTATCTCCAACGTCTGTGGTATTTCCAGAACTTAAAAAATGTTCAAGTTAAGCAATGTGCTTTCCTTTTCTTGACTTTCCAGCCTCGGGTTCCACATCTTGCTAAGGAAAGGAAGAAAGGCTTCTCGGACCAGGCTCCCTCTGGTGCACAGGGACCACAGAGTCATCCTTTCTTTCTTCACGTCTGTTTCCTGTGCCGGCCCATGGTGCTCATCTTGGAGACTAGCACATCATTTTTGGCTGTGATCTCAGCATGTCTCCTTTAACCAAACCTCAAGCACTGGAGGAGGTCCTTCCTAGCCCTGAGGAGAAACCGAAAGGAAAGCCACTACTTTCCTGGGGTTCTCTGTTTGGCCATCGCAATGAGAAAATTGTCTTTACCCAAAGTGACAGTATCCCTGAGGAGAATGTGCTCACCATCACCATCACCGAGACCACTGTCATCGAGTCAGACCTGGGTGTCTGGAGCTCCCGGGCCCTCCTCTACCTCATCCTGTGGTTCTTCTTCAGCTTCTGCACCCTCTTCCTCAACAAGTACATCCTGTCTCTGTTGGAAGGGGAACCCAGTATGCTAGGTGAGTCTGGGTCCCAGCTCATTAATTAACGGGGCATGGTTGTCGTTTCTCTTCTGTGGAGTCAGCCCCAACTCACAGCGACCCAATGTACAACTGAAGGAAATGCTGCCCCGTCCTGTACCATCCTCCTGGTTGGTTGTGGATGGATCACTGTGATTCACAGAGGTTTCATTGGCTGATTTTCAGAAGCAGATCACAGACTTTTCTTCCTAGTCCATCTCAGGCTGGAAATTCAAATGAAAGCTGTTCAGCATCCTGCAATATGCAAGCCTCCATTGATAGGTAGCTGAGCATGAGGTGTTGGCCAGGAATCAAACCTAGGTCTTCGAGGTGGAAAGTGAACCACCCCTGCCCCATGGTTTCCAATTAACATGCAAAAATGACAAGAACAGGTGGTTACTTGGGGTGAGTGTGTTGAGGGGACAGGATGAGAATTGGACTCCTTATGGATAAGTGTAGGGACCAGGACACATTCTGGGTGATTAGGAACCAGAATGAACTCAGTTCTCCATCTCCCTGTATGTTGGGAAAGGAAGCACCCCCCCTCCCCGCCACAAAGCTCCCGTGAAGGAGAGGAAGGGCATCCCCAGTGTGGTCTCCTCTCCCATCCAGGTGCTGTACAAATGCTGTCCACCACACTCATTGGCTGCGTCAAGATTTTCGTCCCTTGCTGTTTGTATCAGCACAAAACCCGCCTTTCCTACCCGCCTAACTTCATCATGACCATGCTGTTTGTGGGACTCATGAGGTAAATGAGCCAGCGGTCTGGTTGTGTGTCTTTTTTAATAACAGCATCTTTCCTGTAACTACAAGTGGGAGATGAGCTGACTGGCGGTGTGTTCCTAGTGCAGACTCTGAAAACAGCTGGGCTAAAGGTTTCCAGACACCACAGGAATCTGGCTGTGTGGGGCCTAGTGCGGCAGGCAAAGGTTCTTGCTAGGACAACGGTGATGGCTTTGTTCAGTAAGGGTTTGAGGACAGTGGTCCTCCTCCCTGGGGAAACTTCAGAAAAGGGGCCTGAGCACTCATGTGGGTGCCAAAGACGGGTTGTGATGGGAGAGAAAGGAAGAGGAAACAGGGAACAGGGAGCTGGAAACAGGTAAGGGAGAGCGGGGTGGAAGAGGGCAGGGGGGATGAGGAGGAGGGAGAAGAGGAAGGATGGTGTGTGGGGGGAGGGTGAGGGGGCCAGGACATGATCGCCACAAGACTCCTTTCTAGAGAGCCTTCCTTATACCCAGAAGGAGACCGGCTCATTCCAAGGCCATTTCTGCCTGTTTCTAGGTTTGCAACGGTAGTGTTGGGGCTGGTCAGCCTGAAGAATGTGGCAGTGTCCTTTGCTGAGACAGTAAAGAGTTCGGCACCTATTTTCACTGTGATCATGTCCCGGATGATCCTGGGGGAATACACGGGTGAGCGTCCTCCTTGAGTCCTTCCTGAGTGCACCCCTCACCCCTACCCCTTTTCCTCCAATCCAGAAACTTGGTTCATCTCACCTTCTGCCTCTTTGGGTTCCTGGTCCCCCAGTGTCCCACCCACCATAGTGTGTCGGCCATGCTTGGGGACCGCTGACTTCTCAGCAGCTCTACTTCTTCCCCTGCAATTTGCTCTGAGCTCATACTTGCCTCAGGAAAGTTTCCTTAAGGGATGTGCTAGGCTGTCCTTGTGCCTTTGTGTCATTGCTGAATAACATTCCATTGCATGAATACACCACATTTATCCACTGATGGATACTAGAGTTGGTTCCAGATTTTGACTATTGTAAAATTGTTGTTGTTGTTGTTGTCAGGTGCCATCGAGTCGGAACCTACTCAT